AGACACACACACACACATACACACACACACACACACAGGCAGATGCTCCTCTTCAGCACATCGCCCTTGACTACTTCCTTCAGGAAAACACAAATAAAAAGGGGGAAATCCACAATCAACACCTTATGAGTTTTCCATGCGTCAAGCCAACTCCACAAACGACACGTATCCGTCAATTACTGAAAGGCGGTGGGATGCATGAGACGAACTCTGGGGACGTTTCTCTCGAAAAAACGTTTTTAATATTTTCCGATATTAGCTCAATGGATTGATCAGTAAGTGGATGCCGGATATTGAAATTACTTAATTTTTTTATAGCACTCTTCCATCGGTTGATAAATGGATACGTTTGAATTACTGAGAGGTCGGGTCTCGATCAGGACAAGACCCTCCATTACAGCGCTGTAGAAAAGTCGCGTGTTTTACGATTAAATGCGATACAAGATAAGGTGTCATTTGGACTGTATTTGAAAACTGAAGTATTTTGTTGATTATTTTATCAATTACATTTTTCGTAGTTATTTTTTCAAAACATTTTTGATCTGCGATGTGAAACTGATCGTGAGGATTGTCAAGCCTATTATTGTAACAGTATCGATGTAACGAAATTATGATTGATAACGAGCTTAAAGGTGAAATAATACTGTTAATTAGAAGGAATTAATTCCACAGTAATCTCTAATGCTACTTTTTCACCAGAAAGGATATCTGAAGAAAAGCACACCAAACAAAGATGTTTTGTAGCGCCGCTGAATTAACCGAACACGTAGACACGGCGGTGATGCAAAGAAAAAATTTGTTTCCCTTTGAACGTAATTTTGGCCTAACGCACGCACGCAAGGGGACTTTACTACGGTAACCGTTGACATATCTAGGGCAGCCCTTACCATCTAATCACTATCATTTAACACACTACTATTTGGTTAATTAACTGCTCTGTCTTAATCAGGCCATTATATAGCTAATGATCTAAGGGACATGTTAGTGACCTGCTGCTACATGTAGGAATTCATTTTATTGTGGAGTTTCTTTTTTCAGATTAGCTCATCTGTACTACAACTTATGACGAGAGAGAGAGAGAGAGAGAGGGGGAAAGTATTCACTTATAACAGTATTTATTCCTCTACTTGAGTTTTAATCATTATAAGTCAATCCCTAAAACACAATAAAGGAAAGAAAATTAAAATGACTGTTGCTATGTACATGTTATCAGTAAATGCTGTAGTGAATGGTTAAATAGACAGTACTAAAAAAAACTCTCGAGTTCACGTACATAGTGGTAAGAAGTGCATATATCGGCTCAAGTCAACGTATCACATGATTTAAGTGCATTCACCTTAATTTAGTTTTCCGATGCGACCCAATACCATCCAATTAACTACAGTAAGTGGCTTGCGTTTGGTCGATACTTTTTGAGAGGTGAACCGAAAGAATCAACATAAGGTTTCGCTGACTACAACACCAAACGCTGTTTCACAGATCCTTTTCATGAATGCACTGTTTATTAATAAAACTGAAAACCTTTGCAAATAGGTTATAGGTCTGTGTTGTACTTAAAATGTTTTATTTAATGCTACTGTAGTTAAATGTCAGTTATGTAGACATGTTTGTACTTGCTGAACTCTACATTTTACCCCTACATTATGATACATACGCAGCAATACTTATTCATCTGCGCGAATATTTATTTTCATGGGTGTGCAGAATTGTCTCAGACATTATTTCGACATCTTCAATCAACAATAACGTACTGATCTATCTTATGAGCTAATAATGTGAAGATAAATTATTAATATGTATTAAATTAAGACCTAGGACTCCTGCGAATTCTTCTTTATTTGTTATTGAACGCGAACTTTCAAAGCTGTAAATAAATCGTCTTCCTGACTACATTTAGGCATAGCTAAAATCTTTTCTATTATGATAGTTCTAGAAAGATATATGTGCTGTGTCTGGTCGTAAATAGTTGCAAATCACATATATTAAAATACGTCAGAATCAGTTGACAGACTATCGCCAAATGTACAGTATACATGCCTTTAACAAGCATATACACGCGTTTACCGTTTCATTGCATTAGCAAATTCACTTATCAAGCACCCCGTTTCTTAATCGCTTTAAGACTGTACAGCCGAAGACACACAAAAGAACTAAATCTACAGAAATAATGCAACCTTTGTCTTCCTGCGAGAAATGGTGCGCAAAATGACGACTGCGAAAAAAACTGAGTAAACCCATTAATTTCTATTTGGATCTACACGGTAATTTACCGCCATTGAGATCGATGTGTCAAGCCTTTTAATTCAATTTTCTCACACGGGTCTTGTGTCGAGTCGCTTGGTTGAATGTGTAGGTTGAAGAGACATTTGAGTGTGTGAAACATAGCGTCTTGTTTGCACTCCGTAGGCGCGTGCGGAAGCTAGGTGTCCTTTTTCACGCTGGGTCCTCTCTCTTCAGCGTGACCACTACCCTCCGGTAGCACTTTACCAAACACCACTCATTCTGGTTAAACAAATGGCTATTTTTCTTCAAACAAATGATTAATTGCATGCTCATTAACACTTTGACAAATCACCACTGCCGTTTGATATCCATTTTCCTCCCTTGTCATCATACAGGCGGGCCCCTGTTATGTATAATAAGTTAATATGGCTACTTATACATGTTCCCACCTCGATATAAGATACAGGGGCCGTTTCCAGGGTATTTGACCCCGGGGATGTCTGTCAGAGTCAAGTATTGACAGTATTGATTGCCGAGCTAAGGAAGGAAAGAGATGGAGTAACATGTCGTCTGCTTTCGTGGCGCGCTTCTCGCCTCCCGGTCGCCCACTTGATGGTCGTCTGCCTTCAAAGTTCAAATAGATCCTAATCCGCGCGTCTTTGCATTCTTTATCAAGCATTCTTTATCAAATAATATAAAATACCTTATGTGAAAAAAACAGAAACCACCTCTGTAGGAAATATGTACGGAAGACTTAAACAACAGTCGATTTTATTCAAAACTTCCCATGACAATGATTCTGTTAGAATCACATTGTCCATCTGTGTGGCCAGTTTATTTGATATACTAGTACATGTGCCCTATGTGGAGGCAGACAGATATATTGATACTAGTATATACTGCCTGGTGTACATTTATTTGCTCAATATCCCCCCAATAAGAATGTTTATGCGAAAGTTTTTAAAGATTGGCTCAGTGTACGTTTTCTGAGAATGAAGATATATGAAAGAGTATATAATGAAGAAATAACGACTCACTATTTTAATCACGGCGTCATAAAATGTTTCAGATGTTAATTTAGCTTCTGAAGATTGATATTTGGTTGATGTGAATGGGCTAATCATTATATTTTNTCTCTCTCCTCCTCCCCTCCCCTCCTCTCTCTCCCTCCCTCCCTCTCTCTCTCTCTCCCCCCCTCTCTCTCTCTCCTTAAACCATGTTTAAAATGAAGATGCCTCTAACATTTATTTTGGCCTCATATTATTCATATTTGAAACAGTTTAAAGACAAGTCATCTTTCTTGTACCGAGTAACACCAATAGACGCTGTATTAATTCCCTTATATCCAAGACCTCCAGTCATGGTTCCTTAACCCCGTGCCACCAGCGAACCCAGAGTCACTTCTCTCCAAAATATTGAAGATTTTCAAAATTGTTACTCGTTGCAATTGATTAAGTCCGTTCACCTAGGGCCGCGTTCTCTTTCAGTCTTCGAACTAAGGTCAGGTGGGTAGTAATTGTGGTCTTTAACTTCAGACAGCACTAACGTGGACAAAACGCTCACAAAGCACACACTGGGGTATATGTGTAGAGAAAAACAGCTTAAGTTAAAGAGCCAGTGAAATGAGAATCACCCCCTTCATTCGACGTGTGTTTATTTTACCTCTGCCTGTTATTGTTGCCTAATTATATTTGCCGCGCGGGCTGAGAACGGGTCAGTCCAACACACACCCATGCCTGGGGCGGTTAAAGAGATATAGCCCGAGGCCCTTCTGAACGCCTAATGAACCGTGATACAAAGCATGACTTAACACAATGGTATCAACGACCTGGGGGTTTAATACCTTCACCTGATTCACGAATTTTAGTTCTCCATCCTGAATGTAGATTTATTTCAATTCCATTGTCAATAACTTAAGATCAAGCATCTGTGACCGATCTAGCCAGGGTCCATTCGGTTGTCTTTTATTTTTAAGAAGTTATCGGATGACTGGTTTTGTCAGCGTTGCATACCAGACTGACAAAACGCTTTAAGATGGGTTAAATGGACTGTTTTGGTGTCGGTGAACTTTAAGGTAAGACGAAACGCGCCTTTTGACATCAAAACAAATATAAGGACAAGGATCTGTTTGTTTGAATTAATTACATCCAAGGTGTCGGTGAAGTAAGTCTGATAATTAAAAAAAAACTTTGATGTACTGGGTCTGGACCGGAGTATTGGCTAAGAGGCTATATTATGTTGGGCGTCTGCTTCTTTCAAGGCTTTCGTGGTAGCATACACGCTGTGAGTCCAGACTGCTCCGCCTGTATGGTCTGTCCTCTACCAGCGTCTCATGGAGATTTTTCACGTGATATTTACAGATATTTCTTTGGCTAATTATGGACACATTTTTGGACTATGACAATTTTTTCAGAGTTTTCAGTTACGACGTCACCCCTCTGCTGCCTCCTGGTGGCGAGAATAACCAATCAGTGGTTTGAAACGTACATGTGTACGTCTAAAATGTTTTATCTTTTGTATTCAGAATGCATTTTTACGATTCGCGTGAAAACTAAGTAAATAGTAAAGTATTTATTTTCATATCAGGGCGGAAACGAAAAATTGGTTGAATACACAACCAGGTTCGATTGAGATATTGTTACTTTTTCTGAATAATTGATCTTTCGACCTAAGTGCACTTGAGGGAAGATATACAGTATACATCTCCACGTATATCGTTACACGAGACAAGAAGAATTTATTTTTCTTGTGGTGAAAATTAAGCATGCGATTCTGAGATGGCTTTTCTGTCTCAGCATTTCAGTGGACTGTTTATTTGCTGTGAATGCAGGCCGTTCATTCGTATGGTGAGTGCAAGCTCAGTGACACAGACGAGTGGATTTTTTGAAAACTAGTCACGTTTTTTTTTTCACTAAGCCAAGCTGTACGCCAGTTCCCAAGAAATTAATTAAGAAAATGTGCACAACGGATCCGAACAGATCAAACTGCATTATGTCTAGATTTTTTTGCTCTTTGTGAATGGCATTAAAGTGCAACACCAAACGTAAAAAAAAATACGTTCTTTATGTCGCCTGTATGAAAGAGAAAAAGTAGAGAGAGAGTGAGAAAGAGAATATGCACAGCTGATGGTTCTATTTCATATCATATATGATTTCAATAATATACATCTAAACATGCACACATGTAAGAGGCTAGGGGTGAAAAAGAAAAAAAAATGTTACTGTTGTTATTCTCATTTTAGGTATTCTCTTTCTCAGTTTTGCTATTTTTATACGAATAATTACAACAGTACTACTGATTTAATGAAAAATAACAACCGAAAAGAAATGGGAATTACCAAGAGTTTGAAGAAACCCCCAGTCTAATTGCTTTCCTTATACTTATAGTCTTAACCTAGTTCTTGATTTCGGTCACCCGTAACTCATGCCTTCCCGATACCTAACACACCTCAGTGACACGTTTGTCGGTATCACGGGAAAGGGCTGGGAAACAAGATCATCTTGCGCCATCTATAGGGTGTTCCTTTTACGAAAAAAGCACACTTCTAGATCTCCTCCCCACAACCCTTTGTACAGTGGGGTATTCTTGTTGAATATCCTATAAATGGATACCAATATAGGTAAAATTTGGTTATTTTAAATGGTTTAATATTACTTTCCTTTGAATTTGATGTCATTCAGTAAGTTCAAGTAAAATGTAATAATTAAATAACTTCATTTTACAGATGTGGATTGACCCCAAGCTAGTCTGGGATCCTAACAAATATGGCGGCATTCGAGTCATTAGAGTTCCGTATGATCAAGTATGGCTTCCTGATATCTTGTTATATAATAAGTAAGTGTTACTTGAACAACTTATCTGATTAAGTCACAAAGCGTCGAGTGATAACTTGTGGTGAAAGTGTAGAGCGAATGAACTAGAATTGTGTTAGTTGAGCTGTTCAACGCAATCACAACCAAAATTTGTGTTCACCAAACAAAATGGTGTAAGACTCGCTCAGCCTAAGTAATAGATCTGAACAAAAATGTATTGGGTTTTGTTCTTTGTAAATTTATCCTAAGAAAATAAAAAATGAACTTTTTTCAAAGATTAGCTTCTTTTATGCACACTTTCCATTGATATTTGAAATATTCTAATACGGTATGCATAATCGTTTCTCTTCTTCATTTTTTCAGCGCAGACGTTCAAGCCTTCATGTCTTCGGTCAGCACCAACGTCATCATCAATCACGTGGGTAACATCACGTGGCTATCGACTGTGATATACAAAAGTTCGTGTACAATCAACGTGGCCAATTTTCCCTTTGACGAACAAAACTGCTCCATGCTTTTCTCTTCTTGGTCCTACGACGGCTACCAGCTAAATCTGGTCATGGTGTCGGACGAAGGTGACGTCTCAAACTATATGCAGAGCACTGAGTGGGTTTTGGTGAAACTTTTCGTGGAACGCAACGTCCAGTATTATTCATGCTGCGCCGAGCCGTACCCTGATATAACGTACTACGTACACATTCGACGTCGCCCCATGTTTTATGTGTTTAATATGATGTTGCCGTGTGTGTTAATAACGCTTGTTGCCTTGCTAGGCTTTTATGTGCCGTCGGATTCCGGAGAGAAAGTAACAATGGGAATCACGACGTTGTTGTCGATGACTGTCTTCCTCATGCTGGTCACAGAGAGCATGCCGCCATCTTCCGAGAATTTACCTCTGATAGGTAAGGCTACCATCATGTGTCCATTGATGCAGTTGGATTAATCGTTGAATATTTTCACATTATTGGTTATAATATTTGTTCTTCAGAGTATGTCACTTCTATGTTATTTGTAATGTATAGTATATATAGATGTAACTGTAAAATAGATGGGTGTGTGCCGATATTTTTAAGTGTGATTCGTGCATACTACACAAATCATAGAAATCAATTATTTGATTTCATACGCTCGTTGTTGTGAGTTTGTATATTAATTTGACAGTTCTTCCCTCCTCATTCGAATTGTCTATTTCCAGGAATATATTACGGAGTAACCATAGCAATAGTTTCTGGCGCCACGGCGATGACTGTGTTGACGTTAAATATCCATCACAAAGGAGTCCGTGGCAAAGAACCGCCGCGCTGGGTGAAAAAAGTGTGCTTTAAATATCTTGCGAAGATACTCTTCATGAGGCTCGATTTGCCAGAAAATATGGGGCTAGATTCCCCGGTAGGTGGTTGATGCTTTGTTTATTTTTCGCATAATTTTATTTTCTGAAACGTTGTATATTACACTGATTATTTTTCTTATATTACATACATCTGTATAGTATTATATATAGTATACAACTTATTCAAAGTTCTATACTAATATGAACATTGCATGCTACCATTGCAGCAGGCATGGACGTAATAACAGCTTGTTCAGGCTTGGTTAATAACACAACCACTCGTGCTGACTGCATGCGTTACCTTGACAACACATTCTGCGCTGCAAAGAGAGTCACTTTCTGGTATAGATTTATTTAGTAATTGACGGAAAATGCGAATAAAGGATGGTTATATGGCTACATGTATCAAAAATAAAAATGCGTTCTGAAATGTGGGTCAAGGTCGCGCGTACGCAGTATAACGCAGTTTCAAGGTTCTGCAAATGACATTGATGAATATGAATGTTTGGTTTCCATTGTACAAATGTAGTATGCCCAGTAAAAAGGTCAATTGACACGTAAAATAAGACAAAATAGTGGTGCATTTTAAAAACTTAGTGTTTAGTTCCTCACTAGCAAACAATCCGGCATGGTCACTTTTATTTCTATTCCTAACTCAGCATATTAAAGGCATGGAATGCGTTTTTTAGAGCAAAAATATGGCATTGTCCTGGAAATTTTGACTCTATCGCCAAGGTAAAAAGTAACCAAAACTGCCAGAACAATGCGATCCATAAAAGCCTTTTTCGAGTATTCAATGTCCAATTTCTGCCAATCTCTGTCTCAAAACGGGCTTTGTGAATCAGAATTCTGTAAATAGTTTAAGATACTAACCTTGGTAATTCACCTTTAGCTAAGTAACAGTCATCGCTTATTTCGGCCCTTTAAGGTAATGCCGATATTAATAACAATTGTTACTATTATTTTCATGCATTGTGGGTGTACGGAATGTCATAAAGGTTGCTTCCTTTAGCCTCATATTTGCTTTGTTGCTTTTTCACAGCTTGCGGACGTTATAGATGGCCCCAAAAGCACGTATATTAGACTAAAATCCAGTAACTCATTTGGACGGAGAAGGAAGAACAAATCGTCCAACAGATACGAGGGTGCTTCCACATCTACCACTGTTTTAAATGTAAGGGAAAAACGACATATGTTTTGTAAATAATTTAGCATTTATTGATTTGATATCCCATGTATCCAAATACCTTCGTGTTGTAATCTACTTTTGTGACGAACACTCTGCGTGCATTTTTTACAGAAAATCAGAGCTTCAGTGTCGGATGTTGACTGTTTTGTAAACAAGCGCCGTCACTATTCGTTCACGTATCTGTTTAAACCCTATGAACGGATGCCGAATGTTTCCTCCCGTGCACGCTTTCTCTTGAGTCTTATGTGACTTTTTAACTTTGTCCACCAAGACAACTACTTAGTTTTCACTTCAGGAGGTAGGTATACGGCTGAGCACCCTGTTCGGGTTTTGTGTTCGCTCTGCTCTTGGACACAGTCCCAGCAAAGAGAGCCGTTTTATAACGTTACCTATACGTTACCATAACGTTAAAATAACGTTTTATTTGTTGTAAAACGTTATGGTAACGTTATGATAACGTACTCTGTTTGTTGGGGTGTAAAATATAGACCTACTCTGCTGGTCGCTTTAACCAGAATTCGCTAAGATTTCCTGCACGTGGGGGATTGCATTCAAGCTCCTAAATTTTGAATTTAAGGGCGCATTCCCATAGATTTTAGATCGATCTATCCCTGTGGGGAGTCTCACTAGATTACTGTCAGCTTAGCCGGCTTAAGCGTCTATCCCGCCTACTAAAAGCTGTAAGGGGGTAATTAACTATGGTGCGCGCTCGGCTGACTGCCGATCGATCTAAATCTCTGGGAATGCATCCTAAGGGGTTTCATGGAGAGAACAAATGGCGGCTTTTATGGCGCAACTAAAATTTTTAAAAAAGATACTAACAGTTGCTTATAGTATTTAACCTTGTTGAATATGCATGTAGTATGTTACTTTACCACACGCTTCGGCTACGACTTTAGGGAACATGTAGAAGTTCAACAGTACAGATGTGTTATATGTCCCGTAGGTTTACCAGTGCTTGCAATGTTTTACATGTTGGGAATACAACATACACAATGTACCTAATTGTTCATCCAATTACAGTGTTATAGTCTTTGTTTCTTTAACAGCAAACAGTAAATGTGAAACCTAATTCCCGAAGTTGTTGCATGGTTTTTGTTAGTTAACATGGCTGTTGTATTCTAGTTGTTCTACCACTGTATTCCATTGTTTGTTGTACACAGGGGGAGAGTAAGAAGACGCAGACAAAACTCCGCCGAGATTCTCACACTCGCAGAAATATTCTCCCATGTTGCTTAGGAGACGGAGAAAAGGATGATCAACATGTATGACCCTTTCTATTTTTTATTTTCGTATTCTATTGTTTTTTTTCTGTTAATGTGCCATAATACCTTCAGCTCCCCGCCTCCCACCTCTCTCTCTCTGTCTCTCTCTGTCTCTCTCTCTCTCTCACCCAAACGCACATACGCACGCATATACACGCCCTCTCTCCCTCCTTTTGTCTTTCTCACACACTCAACCACACATGCACACTCTCTCGGGTTTCTCTCGTTCCCTCTCACACATATACCGGTACGCGCACATACACACACGCATACATACACACATATACACAGGCCATCTCTCTCTTCCCATGTCTCTCTCTCGCTCTGACACACACACACACACTTACACACACACACACACACTTACACACACACACACACACACTTCTCTCCCCACCACACACAATTACACATATACTCTCTCTCTTTATCTCTCTCTTTCTCTCGCAAACACACACATGGAAGCATGCCCGCTCCCCACCTTTCTCTCTCTCTCTCTCTCTCTCTCTCTCCTTGGTACCATAACCGGAATAAAACAGAAGCAAAACTTGTGTTGCAAGGTGACATGGCACACAGAATGCATATCCCTGTTAACTGGACCAGTCAGTACGCCTCATTTCTTTCGTCATGTCAGCTGTGTTTTTGTGTTGTTGTTTGCTCATCTTTGCGGGCAATTACGTTGTCAAATTAAAAAGTCTCCATGACTCTCATATCCCACAATGAGATATTAGAAGGGACACTTAATCTTCTCCCCTGACCAGCTGGGTTATGTATGATGGGTAATATTAAGGGGTAATTTTCAAAATAAATAATCATATATAATATCATGATTATCAATGGACCATTTATTTATAATTGCAGGATCCATATGGTCGGGACGGCGTCGGCAGTCGTCTGAATGCGGAACTAAAAGCCGACGACCCACACCAAGAAAATGGCGGGATTTCACCGAGATTTGCAAGACGAATCCGCAATTTAGGCAATATGGCGTCAGAAGCGTCCAGCTCTGACAATTTTGAGAAACAGTTTTCCCGCGTTTTACAAAAAGTGTACCAAACGATAGAACGTAACGAGATGCGATTGGCAGAACAGGACCGCAGAGACGCTATCAAACTAGAGTGGCAACAGGTGGCGCAGGTGGTCGATCGCCTTCTCCTGTATATATTTGTGCTAACAACCGTCATGGTAACTATGGTAACGATCATCACAGCACAGGTGAGGTCGAAACACATGGCTAGCACGCTTTGAAGGGCGAAAAAATGAAGTATGGGCTTCAAATGGTGATAATCAAAATAAGAGAAGGCGACTTTGAGGACGACGCCATCTTTGATGTGAAATGGTGCATTTCTTTCAATTGTTTTTTATTGCTCTGCTATGCAAAATGACTAAATGCACATAAAACGCGTGGATGTTTTTGAAACAGGAAGGAAAAGAAAGACAAAGTAAGAGGAAGCAGACGTTGTGTCAAGGGCAGTGGGGCAGGATGCTGTTAACACTTGTTGTAAATGTCTAAAGAAAGGTGAATGCTGGCTGAAACATGCTTTTCAAATGCTGACAACTCAAGTTTACGAAAGATGTTGGACTATGATTGGAGTTTAGTAGGAAGGTGTGTCAAAGTTATATTATATTATATTATACATGTTATGTGCATTGAAAAGAACAAAGATGGATTGTGTTTCGCGGTTTAAGGTCCTTGGATGTGTGATACAAAAAAGAGTTTGCTGTTTGCATGTTTACTGTATCACAAATTAAGAGAAACTGTCTTGTTTTTTATTGATTTACGATAATCGCAACAGAACAATGTGTTGGATAGCCGTAGTTTTCGAAGAATGCTGGTGCAAGACAGCAATCCACTAAGTTGGTGTTTCTATTTACTCATAGTAAGTTGTAGAGACGATATTGTATAGAATTGCGGTAATTTTTCTACATATCCTGACATCATTATAGAATGAAAAAAAAACGTCGCCGTATGTTCTGATATAGATTGCTGTGAGTGTGTAACTACACAAGGTAGTACACTATGCCTTATTTTCAAAATTTTGTTTTGGGTAAGCAGGGCGGTAATACCTTGGAAATAATCAACACAAGTTGGAAATATATTTCTTGGACATTTTGTTTGTTTATGTCCATTACTAGGTTAAAGAAACCTCGATGCAGAAGGATTTTTATGTCGTTAAGACAGCGTATATTGTCGATAAGAAATTAGCTTTGCGGGCATTTTGGTTTAATTTGATTTCTAATTTTCTTATAAGTTAGATTGTTTTTTCTCCTAGAGACCTATGTAAAGAAACAGACCTAGTGAATAATGAATATTAATATATCATATATTGAAACGTAATGCTCAAGACAAAATTCCCCCCCCCCCCCCCAAAAAAAAGAACCTTTTATTACAGCAACCACCGTGGAATATGTTTACTTTGAAAAATCTACAGAAGAATGAGTGGTAAGAGTTTTCTGCGATTTTTCGAATGTCACATTTTATTTGCCTAAACTCGAATCTATGCCCTAAAAGTTGGAGGTACTGGTGAAATCAGAAACGGGTATACTACTCACCAAATTGCTTAAAAAGCAGACGTTTCGCAGTTAGGTTTGTTTGCATATTTGATATATAAAAGCATCGCTAAAAGAATACATCCTCTGTAGTTTACCTGTCATTGCTAACTGAAATATTCTGACTTTGGCCCTGTGAGTATTTTCATGGGAGTTGAAGAATGTTTTTGTAAAGTATTGGTATTGACTGCACATAGAAAGGCAAATAAACGTTTCTGCTTCAAGGCTTAAAGTTTGTGCATTCATACTCTCGTCAAACAAATGAAAATCGTCAGGAAGTGGATTCCATTGCCTGTATTTACCAGTTTGTGTGCGTGTGCTGTGTATTTAATATTATAATATACAAATATCTCCGTGAATCTACCCGGTAAATATACATATATCAACAGAAATTGCCTAAAGACATAGTGTACTATATACGGCAATTTAACATCATGGCCATGCAATTCCACCCTTCTTCATCAATCTCTCAGCCGTTTCTAAGCGTTCCAGGTATTTGTCCTTAACATGGTACATGCGTGTCTCAACGCTTTCATTGGTTGTCGTATGACACAGAATAGGCAATGTATTTTTGTTTTCTTCACTGGCGAATTTAATTAATGAACTGATGTCAAAATGACATCAAAGAGATTATTAAAAGTTATTAAAAACAGGGTTAATCCTTATTTTCATTTATCAGTCAGCAAAACGGGAAAAAAACGGATGATTTATGATTTAGAAAAATATCCCATATTAAATGTCAAGTCTGTATTAAAGATATATGTATACAGTGTACTTAGTACAGCAATAGATCAAGCAAACAGCCCAACTGTGTACATCATATGGATCCTACCAAAATATTCGGATTTGCAATTTATTTTATCATGGCCATGCAATTCCACTCTTCTTCATCATTTTCTCAGCCGTTTCTAAGCGTGCCAGGTATTTGTCCTTAAAATGGTACATGCGTGTTTCAAGAAAGTTTTTCTTTGAAACCATATTTCTCCTCTTGTACATTGGGCGTCCTTGCCTAAAATGGTGTAGAACAGCTTCGGAAGGCAACACAGCATATACGCTGGTGGCATTAATGGCAACGTGGGTTGTCATGATATTGACTTTTTCCGGTCTTATGATCATTTTCCATCGACCACCGACAAACCAAACATTTAACCGCTTTGTTGCTAAGAGTGCTACCGGTTTGTATAGCAACATTCGTCCATCTTTATCTCCAGTTCTGTTTTCGTACACAGTCACATTGTCGATGAAAACAAGCGGGAAGAATGCATTGCTGAACCTGTAGGCAGCTCTGCTAGGAAAACTCTGTATCATGGCGGAGTAGTTCTCGTGCAAGTAGGGCACGATGACCTCGTCGATGTCGTGCATAAGGAGATATTTGAACCGGTGTATGTTACGCAACACGCAGTCGTTCTGCAGTGAAAGTCGTTTGTACCCATATTCCATTTGATTCCCTAGTCCTTTTTCAATCGCAGTCACGTTCCACGGTAATACAGTGACGAATCCTGAAATAAAATTCTGATATCTAACCACTGTCTTATATGCTGGTAGAATGTGGTAGTTGTGCCCTGAAGCAATGGCACCTCACAATGCTAATATTATTTCTATGCATTTCTATGCATTCCCATCCAACACAGTTCACAGGTTTGGAATTCTAAACAAACTAGGATAAACGCAATACAATATTCTATATAGACTCACCTTGTTTAACGTAAAAATCGAGAACGGAGCTGAGGTTACTTGATCGGTGATAAATGAAGACGTGTTGTGCCCCAAACATTTTGTAAAGTTCCAAAGCTTGGATGAACCATGAGATATCAGTGTAGTTGGTGAGAGCGTTGTGAATACACATACCAAATTCCTGTTGTTTGTCAGTCCACCCGTTGGACCTATCTAGCACTTTAAGGACTGGCGGCATGAAGTCTTTATAAATCCTATAGAGAAAAGATAACATTACACTCCCACTATCTTTTTGTGACGCACCCAAAGTCTTTACCGACAATGGGTGTTAGTACACGTACATTGCCATGCTGTGTGCGCTTTGTATTTGACGTCATGGAGCAGAAAAGAGCGAAATAACGTGAGTTTGTTGGTGAATTTGGTCAAGAGTGGGGATAAAATAATACATATATCAGACAGTCCAAATAAATGGTAAATAATTATTTTTTTCTTATTTTTTTTAAAATTTATCTTGAAAAATGCAATTTTTTTAAGATGTCATTGCTACATGTGCGCTTGTGTTTTTTAGAGAGAGAGAGAGAGAGAGAGAGAGAGAGAGAGAGCTAAATGATTAACTCCCCTAGAGTTCTTTTGACTCGCAGATTGATATTCTGTGAAAAGTGACAAGACATACGACAGATTGACACTAGAAGCCAAGAGATACTGAAGAGATTCTGGGGTGACATTTGCTATCAGTTGCACAGCTATTGGCCGTGGTATGTCCGATACATTACAGTATACAATGCTGCTCCTAATTCTGGAAAGTAAAAATGAAAACAAAATGAATGACGGGAATACAAATATATATGTCAAAGGCCCGGACCAAATCTAGTCCCATGCATAAAAAGCCCAAACCCCCTGTTTATTACGCCCTGGCTGGGCCGATTCTTTATGTTGTCTTTGCATTGTTAACAGCATAATGGGTAAGTTAAATGACCAAGTTAATAGGCCAAGCTGCCAGTTTGTTTGTATGACATGTGCAGGAGATGTCTTAGATCAAGGCACAAATGAAGCCCACCTTTAATTTAACATTTCTTTAGTAAATGTTACTAAATCAATCTACGTCTTTTCTTTAAACATTAAACATCTTTAAAAGTATCATCCTCTGGTGTATTTTACAAATCACAGGTGAAGAAATACAAGTACATCTCATTTGCCACACCTGTAAGTATCATAATATGTGCCTTTGGTAAAACAAGATGAAAAAATGAATGATATACTAACCAAAATGCAGGTTATAAAGAGTAAGAGACAAAGTCCATCACTAAAGCAAATTTTAACAAAAGCAAAATTTGAAAACAATTCCAGGACAAATGTGGAAACCTCAACAATACGAGTACAGAAATGTGAGGTACCCAGTTGTGGCACCTGTCCACTAATTAAAGAGGGGGGCCATCTAACATTTAAAAATGGACTTACATTTAGAATTAAACACCCATTCACCTGCACTAGCTCAAATTTAATTTATGTATTAACTTGCAGTGGATGCAGTGGATGTGAGAACTATATAGGACAAACTGGAGACACTCTCCGACATAGAATGACCGTTCACAGACAACAAATAAGACAACCTAAATATCAGTGCACATCTGAGAGTGGGCACATTAGGGAATGCTCTATGAACAAAAACAAGGACTTTACGGTATTCCCATTTTCTAAATTCACTAGGGAAACAACCCAAACAGAAAGGGAAATGAAAGAAAATCTATTCATTAATAAGTATAAACCTACATTGAATAGATAAAAGCATTGGTAAAAGTAACAATTAAACACCCATTGTTACAGACGTCACATTTTAGCCTTTATGACATCATCTAGTAACAAATAAACAAAACCCCCTGAAGAAAGAAAGAAACCGGTCGGGGCAAAAAAGTTGCTATATATTACGGCTGCCGTTCTGAAAACAAATATGCAACTGTTTTATATGCATGCTTTCAAGGCTGCTCATCAAGGCTTTTTGGTAAACTATTTACTTTTTTCTTTACATGTATTTGTTATTCAAACAAAAACTATTAAATAAGTATCAAGAAAAATTCAAAATTATTCAAGATATTTAGTGAACTATACCCTATGATAATACATCAGACGTACACAAATAATACGGATTGAAATCAGACGTACACAAATAATACGGATCGAAAAGCTGACAAAAGCTAAATCCGCCTGGGCGAGATTTGAAATTCAAGTAATAAACACTTTTCAAGTATGATATCATTGGTCACAATATAAAGGATTACTTTCTTTTGGATAAATGTTCATGTCAGTAAGTTGTGTTGGGAGGGAGGCAGTGGAGGACTGTCAGAAAATATGGATTTAAATTTTCCTGCCTATGAAACACACACACACACACAAACACACACACATATAATGGAAATCATCATGGATTTACATAATACACGTTCACCTTAAAAATACCTAAAATTTATATCATTCCTAACGATATATTCAAGCACTCCTCGGCGAACGTCTTCTTTCAATATGTTCCCTCTGACAGTTCCATTACAGTATTTGTGTTCAGCCTCAAACCAAAGTCGACAATATATGGGCAAGTGTGTTTCTACGGGTTGGCTTGCTGCTGATATCACCTTAACTTCTCTGCCTTTTACTCGAGGGTCATAAAATGCAGAGAACACGTACAACCCGGAATCTGCTGCTTTTTGCCATCTTAAAGTTTCCTTGGAGAAATCGTTATGAAATGACTCTGTCAAGGAATTTCTCAAATGCTCAGTTGGGTCTGCTGTCTCAGTTGCTTGAAATTTGAGTGAATCTGACGGAGAGTATTCTCTCTGTGTCAGCCGACCTGTCTTCAAATCTGAAGATTCATCTTTCCACGGAGAAGCGTGACTGGAATCCGACATGTGGTGTCCAAGAGCATCGTTATATCTTGCTAGTTTCCTTACATGTTTGCTGTGCTTGTGATATACAAGTTTATCGGTCTCCAACAGATACCAGCCTGTAATTACACAACAGGCAAGTAAAATAAAAGAAAGGCATTTCTTGTATATTCCTTGTACAGAAGAGCTTTTCAATCTTCCAGCTTTCATATTTCCCATACGGATTTCAGACTAATTCCGAACAGCAGCAGTTAATTCATATAGGCAGTTTGCATACCGCATACGTGGACTTTCAAAATAAAAGGTATAAAAGGGTGAGTCTAAGATTGGTTGCCATTGGTTACCACAAGTCTATAAAACGTAAATACAAATAAACTTATGTTAGAAAAACCGCATAACGATCAGTTGGGCAAATACCGAAACTTAGAGATGAATACTAAGCAAATTCAAAATGATAAGGTACTTTGAATGACATTTTTGTTGAGTAGAAAATAAATGTATATTTTACTTATCCCTCCGACAATGAAACTACCCACATCATTGTAGAGTCATATATTTTTATATGTATATTTACCCAGTCATCCCAAGGCAAATAAATTTTGGCTTATTGTACTGTATTAAACGAATCACACACACGTATATATATATATATATATATATATATATATATATATATATATATATATATATATATAGATAGATAGATAGATAGATAGATACTAAAATTTTAATCAATTCCCTAAGTAAAATGGATAAACTGGAAAAAAAAACCCAAAATGTTGCTAAGTGTGCACAGGTGTTTGAAAAATGAATTCGGTATGGGACGTACCTTCATTCCTGAACAAAATTTTATCAGGTAAATGGGCATACTTGACCACACGTGTATGGGCTTCAATCCTGTGTAGTCAGTTTGGTTGAAATGCTTTTATTAAGGAGATATAGGGCCCCCATTACAGATTTCCATTCAATAAAGGCATTGTTTTACCTCATCAACGATACAGTCTGTTCTTAGGATTTTTAGAAATATTCGCTGGTATCCCTGTGTCATTCACAAGGATGTGAAAGCTATAACACTTATATCATAGTGCGCAGCATTAGTAATTTACAAACATATACTACAAAATGCATGTTGTTATTGTATACGGGCGCCGTTCTATTTCTTACAGTTATAGTTTGTTCTGTATCTTTTTTCCTGGGGCTAGATTGGCCATTAGAAGGTTGATCCTTTATTATACACAGAGGGTGTAGTATACACATAACTATACTAATATGTACACTGCGGGCATGGACGTTATAACTACTTGTAAAGGATGGGTTAATAACACAACCACAAATGCAGACTGCATGCGTTACCTTGACAACACATTCTACGCTGCAAAGAGAGCTATCCTTACACTTTATGGTAGAGATATATTTGGTAATTTTAATAACAGTAGATGTGACTAAAGGATGGTTATGTGGCTAGATGTATCACAAATGATATTGCGTACTGTTCTATGGTGGTCAATTATCATAACTTTCCGTCAATTGTTACAGAAAGCACAACTAACACAATACAGTAGGAGAAAATAATTCCATCCTGTATTTTATTCTCTTAAAGCATCTCCAATCTTTTCCTTCTCAATGCTGATAATTTTGATCTTCTGTTGGACAGGGTGGTTATCCCAGTATGCAGCCCGTCCCACACTTGAAATTTGCATTAGAAATATTGACCAAATACATAGTATAGCAATATATTAAGCAAACAGACCCCCTGTGTACTTCAGAATGACCCTATCAGCAAACTTGAATTTAGCTCAGTCAGGAGATTATAGGTCCTGATGGCATATCGTACTACCTGTACATGTGCGTGTTCAGCGTGTGTGAAAATATTCTAAATTGCAATTGTGCACGTGCTTTTTTAGTTATTTTGCATACATGTTCGTGTTTGTGTGCGTTCTTGTTTATTTAATATCTAAACCCCAATATACAAATACCATCACATCTCTTAATAACGCTGTCGACAGAAAGTCAAAGTAGACCATATATGATAGGTTTACATCATGGCCATGCAATGCCACTCTTCTTCATCATTTTCTCAGTCGTTTCTAAGCGTGCCAGGTATTTTTCCTTAAAATGGTACATGCGTGTTTCAAGAAAATGTCTCTTTAGAACCATATTTCTCCTAATGTAGATTGGGCGTCCTTGCCTAAAATGATGCAGAACGGCTTCGGTAGGCAACACAGCACAGACGCTGGTGGCATTAATGGCACTGTGGGTCGTCATGAGATTCACTTTTTCCGGTCTTATGATCATTTTCCATCGACCACCACCAAACCAAACATATAACCGCTTTGTTGCTAAGAGTGCTACCGGTTTGTATCGCAACATTCGTCCATCTTTATCTCCAGTTCTGTTTTCGTACACAGTCACATTGTCAATGAAGACACGCGGGAAGAACGCATTGCTGAACCTGTAGGCAGCTCTGCTAGGAAAACTCTGCATCATGGCGGAGTAGTTCTCGTGCAAGTAGGGCACGATGGCCTCGTCGATGTCGTGCATTAGGAGATATTTGAACCGGTGTATGTTACGCAACACGCAGTCGTTCTGCAGTGAAAGCCGTTTGTAGCCATAGCGCATTCGATTCCCTAGACCCTTTTCAATTGCAGTCACATTCCACGGTATTACAGTGACGAATCCTGAAATAAAATACTGGTATATGATCATTGCGTTATATTGCTATGTTGGTAGAATGCGGTAGTTGTGCCCTGAAGTGATGCCACATCACAATGCTTATATTATCTCTATGAAATCTTACACAGTTCCCGGGTTTGGAATTTGGGACAAACTATGATAAAGCCAAGACTCACCTTGTTTTACGTAAAAATCGAGAACGGAGCTGATGTTACTTGATCGATGATAAACGAAGACTTGTTGTGCCCCAAACATTTTATATAGTTCCAGCGTTTGGATGAACCATGAGATATCACTGTAGTTGGTGAGAGCGTTGTGAATACACACACCAAATTCCTGTTGTTTGTCAATCCAACCCTTGGACCTATCTAGCACTTTAAGGACTGGCGGCATGAAGTCTTTATAAAGCCTAGATGGAGAAAAGATAATATTACACTCCCACTATCTTTTTGTGACACACCCAAAGTCTTTACCGACAATGGGTGTTAGTACACGTACTTTGGTATGTTAGAGTGAGATTTGTATCTGACGGCATGGCGCAGAAAAAGTGTGAAATAACGTGAGTTTTTTGCTGAATTTGGGAGAAAGTGGGGATAAAATGATACATGTATCAGACAGTCCTTATAAAAGAAAAGTGATTATTTTTCCATGTTTTTATCTTGAAAAAGGCAAACTTTAGATGTGATTGCTACATGTGCCTTTGTGCTTGTGTGTTTGTGCTTTTATGAGAGAGAGAGAGAGAGAGAGAGAGAGAGAGAGAGAGAGAGAGCTAATTGAATACACCCTCTAGGATTCTTTTCACCCAAAGATATTTTGTGAAAAGTAAATTGTCTGACAAGACATACGACAGATTGGCTTTAGCCGCCAAGAAATACTGTAGAGATTCTGTGGTGACATTTGCTATCAGTTGCACAGCTATTGGTCGTGGTATGTCTGATACATTACAGTACACAATGCTGCTCCTAATTCTGGAAAGTGAAAATGAAATCAAAATGAATGATGGGAATAAAAAAAAAACTGATGACGCATATTGATATTTTTGTGAAATTCAAAATGAAACTGTTGTATCTGTATGCGCTCAAGGTTGTTCATCAAGATATTTTGGTACACAAATAATACTGATTGAAATCAAACGTACACAAATAATACGGATCGAAATCAGACGTACATAAATAATACGGATTGAAATCAGACGTACACTAATAATACGGATTGAAATCCGGAAAAAATCTAAATCTGCCTGGGCGAGATTGGAATTCAAGTCAGAAACAAATTTAAATTATGATATCATTAGTCACAATATAAAGGATTTCTTTCTTTTGAATAAATGTACATATCAGTTAGTCGTGTTGGGAAGGAGGCAGTGGAGGATAAGCCAACAATGATAATTTGTAATAATGTCAGAAAATATATCTGGATCCGCTCCTGAAATGTGGAGTAACAAATCACCGTGAGACTCTCTTTGGTCTTCATAAATGGAGTTGTAAAGATGTGACCCGGGATGCTTTTTTCTTTCCTGTTGACTGTCTGTATGTTTACACACGAACTAAAATATACTAATGCAATTTTATTTGAAACTACCTTAAACTCAACAGTATAAGTCCTTTTACATGTTGATAGCAAAGATTTGAAACTAGAAAGTGGGGTATAAAACATAAAGCCCAAATTTATGAAAAAAACTGAAGCTACCGTCACGAAATAAACAGAAATCATTTCGTTTTGCAATTGAAGAACACATCCCAAGTAGTATACCATGAATAATTGACCAAATAATTTTGGGACTTTAACAATAAAATGATGTCTTAGTTTTCACAGTTTAAGACCTCTAAAGCTATCGTTTGTTTGCTTATGTTTTTTTTACGTTTGGTAAAGCACCTTGATGTCTATTTGGATGACATTTAATTACCCATTTTGATAATTTCACATTACTATCATCATTTTATTTATTTGACACAAGTATTTTTAAAAAGGCTCATACCTGTAATATTCAAATGGACTGCAGTTTATGAATCAAAAGCCGAGGGTAGCAAAACAATAAATGATGTGCACGAGGTAATGTTAAGCAGGAGGCTCTCGAAAATCAAATACGTGCATCTCTGTTTGCCTCAAAAAGACTATAAGTCCACATAATAAAATTTAAGTAGAGGGACACGTGCTGCCGCATTCGCATTTTTGGCGGAGATTTGAAGCAGGATAGCGATGCCGTAAAATTGAGCAGTAGAAAAGCAGCTAATATAAAGGTTTTAAACGCAAGTATCTCTGCAACCCCCCCCTTTTTTGCCGTAGACGTGCAGAGCGTTATGCTGCATCCCCACTACAAACAGGGCCCATGCCATTGTGTCCCTATCATGTTAAAATGATACCTCGATAATGTCACAGTTTCTTGCGGTTTACCCTACAAATGAAACAATGTTAAACGAAAATGTTCTAAACTAGATGTTCTGTTTTATAAATGGCTTTATTTGGTATGTGATTAAAGGGATAATAATTTCGTTTTGGCCAAAAAATGAATTTTCCTGGAGTAAATCAGCAATTTTCCCATACTTACCAATGGTTAATGAATCCTTTTTACAGGCAAGTTAGTCCCTGTTTTTTTTTTTTTTTTTTCTAAAAAGCGTGTTTTTGTTATAATCTCTTAAGAGATTATAACAGAGTATAGCCATAATGGAGTTCACGTGATCTAAAGAGCAGATCAGATATCATAATAATAGCCGTTTTGTGGTTCAACAGAATATATATATTTCTATTAGTTGTTCACAATTTTTTTATTATGAAATATATATCTGATACGAAGAGTTATCCCTTTAATGTAATCATAATTAAATATTGTCTGTATCTCGCCTAGGCGGATTTAAAATCTGCCTGGATTTCAATGTTGCCTGTGACCCCCCCCCCCCCCCACACACACACATATAATATGGAAAACAACACAAATGTATATTATACATGCTTATCTTAAAATACCTTAAACGTCTGTCAACCCTAAAGATATATTCAAGCACTCCTCGGCGAACGTCTTCTTTCAATATCTTCCCTCTGAGAGTTCCATTATAGTATTTATGTTCAGCCTCAAACCAAAGTCGACAATACAAAGACATATGTTTTTCTGTGGGTTGCCTTGCCGCTGATATTATTCTTACTTCTCTGCCTTTTACTCGAGGGTCATAATATGCAGAGAACACGTACAACCCGGAATCTGCTGCTTTTTGCCATCTTAAAGTTTCCTTGGAGAAATTGGTAGGTAATGACTCTGCCCAGGAAGTCCAACCTGTCACGGAATTTATAAAATTTTCAATCGGGTCTGCTGTCTCAGTTCCTTGAAATTTGAGAGAATCTGACAAAAAATGCCCTGCCTCTGTCAGCCGATTTGTCTTCAATTCTAAAGGTTCATCTTTCCCTGGAAACGTGTGATTGGAACCCAACACGTCGTGTCCAACAGCAGCGTTATGTATTGCTAGTTTTCTTACATATTTGCTGCGCTTGTGATATACAAGTTTATCGGTCCCCAACAGATACCAGGCCGTAATTACACAACAGGCAAGTAAAATAAAAGAAAGGCATTTCTTGTATAATCCTTGTACAGAAGAGCTTTTAAATCGTCCAGCCTTAATATTTGTCATCATGGCGGATTTCACCATACGGCCCTCTGGTTACGAACAACAGCAGTTTATTCATACGGGCGGTTTCCATACCGCATACGGGGACTTTCACAATAAAAGGTTTAAAAGGGTGAGTCTAAGATTGGTTGCCATTGGTTACCGCAAGTTAATGAAACGTAAAGACAAATAAACTTATGTTAGAAAAGCCGCATAACGATCAGTTGAGCAAATACCGAAACTTAGAGATGAATACTAAGCAAATTCAAAATGATAAGGTACTTTGAATGACATTTTTGTTGAGTAGAAAATAAATGTATATTTCACTTATCCCTCCGACAATGAAACTACCCACATCATTGTAGAGTCATATATTTTTTATATGTATATTTACCCAGTCATCCCAANAAAAGCCGCATAACGATCAGTTGGGCAAATACCGAAACTTAGAGATGAATACTAAGCAAATTCAAAATGATAAGGTACTTTGAATGACATTTTTGTTGAGTAGAAAATAAATGTATATTTTACTTATCCCTCCGACAATGAAACTACCCACATCATTTTAGAGTCATATATTTTTTATATGTATATTTACCCAGTCATCCCAAGGCATATAAATTTTGGCTTATTATACTGTATTAAACGAATCACACACACGTATATATATATATATATATATATATATATATATATATATATATATATATATAGATAGATATATAGATAGATAGATACTAAAATGTTAATCAATTCCCTAAGTAAAATGGATAAACTGGAAAAAAACCCAAAATGTTGCTAAGTGTGCACAGGTGTTTGAAAAATGAATTCGGTATGGGACGTACCTTCATTCCTGAACAAAATTTTATCAGGTAAATGGGCATACTTGACCACACGTGTATGGGCTACAATCCTGTGTAGTCAGTTTGGTTGAAATGCTTTTATTAAGGAGATATAGGGCCCCCATTACAGATTTCCATTCAATAAAGGCATTGTTTTACCTCATCAACGATACAGTCTGTTCTAAGGATTTTTAGAAATATTCGCTGGTATCCCTGTGTCATTCACAAGGATGTGAAAGCTATAACACTTATATCATAGTGCGCAGCATTAGTAATTTACAAACATATACTACAAAATGCATGTTGTTATTGTATACGGGCGCCGTTCTATTTCTTACAGTTATAGTTTGTTCTGTATCTTTTTTCCTGGGGCTAGATTGGCCATTAGAAGGTTGATCCTTTATTATACACAGAGGGTGTAGTATACACATAACTATACTAATATGTACACTGCGGGCATGGACGTTATAACTACTTGTAAAGGATGGGTTAATAACACAACCACAAATGCAGACTGCATGCGTTACCTTGACAACACATTCTACGCTGCAAAGAGAGCTATCCTTACACTTTATGGTAGAGATGTATTTAGTAATTTTAATAACAGTAAATGTGGCTGAAGGATGGTTATGGGGCTAGATGTATCACAAATGATATTGCGTACTGTTCTATGGTGGTCAATTATCATAACTTTCCGACAATTGTTACAACAAGCACAACTAGCACAATACAGTGCCCCCACCCCAAAGTAGAAGAAAATAATTCCATCCTGTATTNCTTTATTATACACAGAGGGTGTAGTATACACATAACTATACTAATATGTACACTGCGGGCATGGACGTTATAACTACTTGTAAAGGATGGGTTAATAACACAACCACAAATGCAGACTGCATGCGTTACCTTGACAACACATTCTACGCTGCAAAGAGAGCTATCCTTACACTTTATGGTAGAGATGTATTTAGTAATTTTAATAACAGTAAATGTGACTAAAGGATGGTTATGGGGCTAGATGTATCACAAATGATATTGCGTACAGTTCTATGGTGGTCAATTATCATAACTTTCCGACAATTGTTACAACAAGCACAACTAGCACAATACAGTGCCCCCACCCCAAAGTAGAAGAAAATAATTCCATCCTGTATTATATTCTCTCAAAACATCTCCAATCTTTTCCTTCTCAATGCTGATAATTCTGATCTGCTGTTGGACAGGGTGGTTATCCCAATGAGCAGCCCGTCCCACACTTGAAATTTGCATTAAAAATATTGACAAAATACATAGTATAGCAATATATATTAAGCAAACAGACCCCCTGTGTACTTCAGAGTGACCATATCAACAAACTTGAATTAAGCTCAGTCAGGAGTTTATCGATCCTGATGGCATATCGTACTACCTGTTCATGTGCGTGTTCAGCGTGTGTGGAAATATTCTGATTTTCAATTGTGCACGTGATTTTTTAGTTATTTTGCATACATGTTCGTGTTTGTGTACGTTCTTGTTTATTTAATATCTAAACCCCAATATACAAATACCACCACATCTCTTAATAACGCGTATCGACAGAAAGTCAAAGTAGACCATATATGATAAATTTACATCAAGGCCATGCAATTCCACTCTTCTTCATCATTCTCTCAGTCGTTTCTAAGCGTGCCAGGTATTTGTCCTTAAAATGGTACATGCGTGTCTCAAGAAAGTTTTTCTTTAGGACCTTGTTTTTTCTAATGTAGATTGGGCTTCCTTGCCTAAAATGATGCAGAATGGCTTCGGAAGGCAACACAGCATAGACGCTGGTGGCATTAATGGCACTGTGGGTTGTCATGAGGTTCACTTTTTCCGGTCTTATGATCATTTTCCATCGACCACCGCCAAACCAAACATATAACCGCTTTGTTGCTAAGAGTGCTACCGGTTTGTATCGCAACATTTGTCCATCTTTATCTCCAGTTCTGTTTTCGTACACAGTCACATTGTCGATGAAGACAAGCGGGAAGAATGCATTGCTGAACCTGTAGGCAGCTCTGCTAGGAAAACTCTGTATCATGGCGGAGTAGTTCTCGTGCAAGTAGGGCACGATGATCTCGTCGATGTCGTGCATTAAGAGATATTTGAACCGGTGTATGTTACGCAACACGCAGTCGTTTTGCAGTGAAAGCCGTTTGTAGCCATATCGCATTCGATTCCCTAGACCCTTTTCAATTGCAGTCACATTCCACGGTATTACAGTGACGAATCCTGAAATAAAATACTGGTATATGATCATTGCGTTATATTGCTATGTTGGTAGAATGCGGTAGTTGTGCCCTGAAGTGATGCCACATCACAATGCTTATATTATCTCTATGAAATCTTACACAGTTCCAGAGTTTGGAATTTGGGACAAACTATGATAAAGCCAAGACTCACCTTGTTTTTCGTAAAAATCGAGAACGGAGCTGATGTTACTTGATCGATGATAAACGAAGACTTGTTGTGCCCCAAACATTTTATATAGTTCCAGCGTTTGGATGAACCATGAGATATCACTGTAGTTGGTGAGAGCGTTGTGAATACACACACCAAATTCCTGTTGTTTGTCAATCCAACCCTTGGACCTATCTAGCACTTTAAGGACTGGCGGCATGAAGTCTTTATAAAGCCTAGATGGAGAAAAGATAATATTACACTCCCACTATCTTTTTGTGACACACCCAAAGTCTTTACCGACAATGGGTGCTAGTACACGTACTTTGGTATGTTAGAGTGAGATTTGTATCTGACGGCATGGCGCAGAAAAAGTGTGAAATAACGTGAGTTTTTTGCTGAATTTGGGAGAAAGTGGGGATAAAATGATACATGTATCAGACAGTCCTTATAAAAGGAAAGTGATTATTTTTCCATGTTTTTATCTTGAAAAAGGTAAACATTAGATGTGATTGCTACATGTTCCTTTGTGCTTGTGTGTTTGTGCTTTTATGAGAGAGAGAGAAAGGGAGAGAGAGAGAGAGAGAGAGAGAGAGAGCTAATTGAATGCNCACACACACACACACACACACACACTGTATATAAAATGGAAAACATCACAAATATGCATAACACATATTTATCTTAAAATACCTAAAAGTTCTGTCAATCCTAAAGATATATTCAAGCACTCCTCGGCGAACGTCTTCCTTCAATATCTTCCCTCTGACAGTTCCATTATAGTATTTGTGTTCAGCCTCAAACCAAAGTCGACAATACAAAGGCATGTGTTTTTCTACGGGTTCGCGTGCCGCTGATATTACTTTTACTTCTCTGCCTTTTACTCGTGGATCATAATATGCAGAGAACACGTACAACCCAGAATCTGCTGCTTTTTGCCATCTTAAAGTTTCCTTGGAGAAATTGGTAGGTAATGACTCTGCCCAGGAACTCCAACCTGTCATGGAATTTATAATATTTTCAATCGGGTCTTCTGTCTCAGTTCCTTGAAATTTGAGAGAAGCTGACAAAGAGTGCCCTGTCTCTGACAGCCGAATTGTCTTCAATTCTAAAGGTTCATCTTTCCCTGGAAACGTGTGATTGGAACCCAACACGTCTTGTCCAACAGCATCGTTTTGTATTGCTAGTTTTCTTACATGTTTGCTGCGCTTGTGATATACAAGTTTATCGGTCCCCAACAGATACCAGGCCGTAATTACACAACAGGCAAGTAAAATAAAAGAAAGGTATTTCTTGTATAATCCTTGTACAGAAGAGTTTTTAAATCTTCCAGCCTTCATATTTGTCATCATGGCGGATTTCACCATACGGCCCTCTGATTACGAACAACAGCAGTTTATTCATATGGGCGGTTTCCATATCGCATACGGGGACTTTCAAAATGAAGAGTATAAAAGGGTGAAATTAAGATTGGTTGCCATTGGTTACCAAAAGTTCATGAAACGTAAAGACTAATAAACTAAACTTACAGATAATACTAAACAAGTTATAAATTATAAGGTACCTTGCATAGCATTTTTGTAGCGTAGGTATTTTTACTCCCCCCCCC